TTATCTCTTCGCGTGAGTTTTCGAACTGTTGGGTTGACAGGAACTGGGGATGAAACAGGAGCTCACCCTGATAATGTGAAGGCTGGACTCGAACCACTGAAGTGTCGACCATTTCTGGCCGGCAACTTTCAGCGTCATTAAGCCACTGCGCCATCGCGTCCCAGGAAATTGGCATACACAAATTCATTTACTGGTTTTTCACCATTTTTGCAAAATGAAATAATTTACTCCCTTTTGTCAAATTCAACTACTTGGTTTTTGATGTATTAATTTGTAGATCTCTATTTGAAGTCCTAACACACAAGGACCCATATGTCATAGGCATCCCTGTAAGATGGTGGGGTGGCACACAACTGGAACATCCCTGAAACGTCATAGCATATTCCAAAGGACAGGCTCCTCAGAAAGAGAGGGCTGTGCCTAGAGAAGGTGAAGACCTGCACATAAGTTCATAAACTGGAACAGAAAAATCCTGTTGAGAGGGTTTGGGTATAAAAAAGGGGAGAAACAAAAGCAGTAGGGGGTTTATTATAGGTTGCCTGGAGGAACAACATGGACAAGTTCTTTCTGTGTCAAGAGGACTGACTTTTCAGAGGCCTAATGAACGTCCGCCAAGAATCAGAAGTCCAGGAACTCCTGTTTCTGTTTGCTGATTTCATTGGTGAGAAGGCGGAAGAACGAAAAAGATGATCTGCCCCGCTGGACATAATCCTTAGTCGAAGTGAAGGTGACTGAAACCTTGGGCAAATGTTGGCTTCATGTTCATGAAATCAAGGGGAGAGGAACAGTGTCAGGTCTACGATGTTCAAACCCCAGTACAGACATCTCTCTTGAAATCCAAAGTAGATTCAGAAAAGATTTCATTTATTGCAGGATACATGCAGCTCTAAGCAAAGCATTGCTAAAACTAAAGCCTGCGTAATTTTCCCTCTACTTTTACCCCCGTAGTCCCCCCACTCATTCTAGGCGCCACTTTTGGGTTCTCACAGAGGTGTGACCTTGTGCATTTCTCACTTTGATAACATGTCTTCTTCCTGGCCTTCAATCTTCCTCCGGCTCTGTCTTCTTTCACTCCCCCCCCACCAATGAGAATGGCAGAATCCAAGCTGAGAAAACATTCCCTATAATTAAAGTATACAAATGGCATTTACTATGCTAATAAAACAGTCCTCTAGCTGATATATATTCTGATTGCTGCAGATTCTGACACAGAGTTTGGGGTTCAGAAAAGTGGAGGTTGACAAACTCAGGCAGAAGGCAGGTCCAAACTAATGGCTTGAAATCCATGGAGAAAAGTGCCTTGAAAGGATGGGAAATCCTTCTAAAGGAGATAAGGCAACTGCCAACAATTCCTACTGGAAGAAATGAGAAATATCTAAAGAGACCAGGATGAATACACACTGAGCTTTCTAAAATGCAAAAAAAGGAGATGTACTGTATAGGAAATGAAAGGAGGAGGTCCTTCCAAAGGAGAATTCAGGTGGTCACCAAAAAGGAAAAGCCAGCCTCCTGGTTATGAGGAGAAAGGGCTGAATTGGTGCTGGGTGCTGGTGGGAGGGCAGAATTTTTTAACTCCTCTTATGTGTGTCTTCACCCAGGACAGAATTGGAGCCCAGGCTGGTCCTCCTTATGGCACTGGGAGCAGGAGGGAACCATGGGTCAGGATGGACCAGGGAACAAGGAGAGAACTTAGCTAGTTTAAATGAAATCAAATCTCTGCGCCCAGGGTACTGTAGGAATTAGTGCAGGTTAACTGCAAACTGTCATCATTGTGAACGTGATGCAAAAGGTATAGCTGCGTTCTCATTATAACGTGTCCCTCTTTATTCTATTTGCTAGTTGTATCCTCCTGTTATATATTCCCTCTGAATGATACTATGCTGTGTGTGTCTCCTCCCCCTCCTCCTCACTGGCCAAAAATAAGAGCAAAGAGAAAGAACCAGAGAGCTGGAAAATATATTAAGAGTTGATAAACAGAAACAAATGAAAGGAACCTCTATCATGGTTGCCTGGCCGAAACTAATAAATCTTTATTTCCTTGAGAAAGGAACCAACACAACAAAAGGAGAAAAGGAACAAGGCCAGAACTAAATGTACAAAGTTGTGAGAATCAGCACATGGTCTGTTATAGTAGAGAGCATGGCAGCCTGGCATTGGAAAGGTTGAAATTCTCCCACAAAGAATCTTGATATCTCCCAACCCCCTTTTGCTCCTGTGGCTGGCGGAGGAGAAAGTTATTCTATTTTTTTCTCTGCTCTTCTTCTCGGTATGCGTATTGTGCACATGTGAAAGGATGTCTCTGCCTGCTTGTTTGCAGAATATGGTTGCAATTTACAAACAAGCCACAGCTGTTTGCATCATCGTACTCCTAGACTGTTTGGTGGAACCATCTGTCTGTGTCCCATATTGCCTTTAAGATCCTGCATATGGTGTAATAAATTCTGGGAGAACTGGTGGGGTCCCAGAACGCTGAGCAAGTATTGTTTCTATTGCCAAAAAACGGGAAGAAGAACCCAGCAAATGACAGACCTGTAATCTTGATACACACACACACACACACAGAGATACATACACACATACATATATACACATACATACATACGTACATACAGTGGGGCAAAAAAGTATTTAGTCAGCCACCAATTGTGCAAGTTCTCCCACTTAAAAAGATGAGAGAGGCCTGTAATTTTCATCATAGGTATACCTCAACTATGAGAGACAAAATGAGAAAAAAAATCCAGTCAGACAATGTGATTTTCTGGATTTTTTTTCTCATTTTGTCTCTCATAGTCAGACAATGTGATTTTCTGGATTTTTTTTCTCATTTTGTCTCTCATAGTCAGACAATGTGATTTTCTGGATTTTTTTTCTCATTTTGTCTCTCATAGTCAGACAATGTGATTTTCTGGATTTTTTTTCTCATTTTGTCTCTCATAGTCAGACAATGTGATTTTCTGGATTTTTTTTCTCATTTTGTCTCTCATAGTCAGACAATGTGATTTTCTGGATTTTTTTTCTCATTTTGTCTCTCATAGTCAGACAATGTGATTTTCTGGATTTTTTTTCTCATTTTGTCTCTCATAGTCAGACAATGTGATTTTCTGGATTTTTTTTCTCATTTTGTCTCTCATAGTCAGACAATGTGATTTTCTGGATTTTTTTTCTCATTTTGTCTCTCATAGTCAGACAATGTGATTTTCTGGATTTTTTTTCTCATTTTGTCTCTCATAGTCAGACAATGTGATTTTCTGGATTTTTTTTCTCATTTTGTCTCTCATAGACCTATGATGAAAATTACAGGCCTCTCTCATCTTTTTAAGTGGGAGAACTTGCACAATTGGTGGCTGACTAAATACTTTTTTGCCCCACTGTATGGGGCAAGTTCTTTGGACAGAACCACAGTGCACTTGTGAGCTCTTGGACAGGAACACAATGAACAATAATAGCCAAAGAGGGGAAGCTAAAAAAAGCCCTTCCAGAAATGGCCTTGCTTGGGAGGTGTGCCCAGAACACTGTTTGGGTTCCCCCATGGTGCTGAACTGCAAACAACTCAACCCTATTTTAGCTTCGTGCACTGTGTGACCCCAGTCAGTCCAGCTGAGTATGGTTCAAGGTGCCCCACAACCCTCAAAGTCTAGGTTAAGCAATCTATAGGTAAAGTTGCTATGCAAACACAGCTGTTAAGTTAGGGACTGGTAACTAGCAGCTAGGCAATCAAACTTAACTACTGCTCTCAGTAGCCTCAACCCACTTGGCTGCTGGCAAGCAACGCAGAAAGCCCTTTCAACCCCGAGGGCTCTAAGCACAGCCATGGCAGGCAGCTGGTCTGGAAAGCAACTACAAACTTCCAACTCTGTACCTGGGCATACACAACTCAGAGCCACAAACCAGCCAACCACAGTGAAGCCCAGTAAACTAGGCAGCCTAGATAAGACCACCTAAACAATAAGGCAGATGCTCATCCCATGGAAATAGTAACCATCAGCAGAAGACGGGTAACAAAATGCAAGAGCAGCTAACAATAGTATACAAAAATCCCTCTCTGCACTTGGTAACAATCGAACACCTTCCAGAAGCAACCCTCAGAATTTCCAAGCCAGTTTTGTGATTCCTAAAAATTCAGAGAGTTGGTGTAGACGCCTGGAAGATCCTCAGACTGTAGAACGCTTCTCAGGAACCTTTTCCGTAAAGAAGCCCACGAAGAACACAGTGGGAGCCCTAGAACCGTCCTGCCTACCTATCATCGATGTAAGGTTAGCAGTTTGGGCTAGAATCTTTCCTCTGATACAATAATGCAGGTAGTGCAGAAAACCAAGCAGGGGAATGCTTGTGGCGGTCAGAAGCCTCCAAACATTTTACAGGGATTGCGACCTTTCCAGATCTCTCTCATACCAAAAGAACAGCACCTGACCAAGTAGATGAGCACTAAGAGTCATGTTTATTTTGATATTTAAAGTCCCCCGCCCCCCCCACTGGTGCAGGCTCCTGGGCCTAACAATGCTAGGTCCAGGCGTGGTGATGGAAAATAGAGGCGGGCCGAGAGCCTCCCCTTGGCTGGAGATACAGCCTCCTTGTCTGCAGAGACAGCCCATGGACGGCACACGCAATACTTGTCGAGAATTGCCACCACGGTCACCCCAGGAGAGCAGCGATCCCACAAAGACCCATTGTTAACTGAGCCACAAGTTCAAGATACAACGTGCACTGGTCAGCAGCCCCCCTCAGCGTGGGCCATTCCGTACTTCTCCTTGTATCTCCTGCGAAGACAGAGACAGAAAGACTTTCAGCACAAGGTGCCACTCTCTGTCACCCCTAGAGGGGCTGCTTCCCATTCCACGTGCAACCCTCTGCCCACAGAAAAAGGGGGTCCACCACCTCCTGGCATAGTCCCAGAGCGCTTGCTTTCGTTCCTGGAGAGAGAGGTGCCTCACTTCCGCAGACCTGGCAAAGACCTTCCCCGTTGCCTGAGGGAAACAGAGGCCTCTTTAGGAACCCGCCCATGCATGCTTCCCACAGAAAAACACACGCAGCCTTCTGGGCCTGACTTCAAGTACCGGGGCTATTTGGGAGGTGGAAGGACACTGAGTGCCATAGAAGGATGGAGCCGCAGCCGAAAAATCTTCAGTCTCTGCCTCGGGTGCGAAGGGAACTCGCCCCTCCAAAAGATTGGCAATTGTGGCGTCCACGCAGTTAGTTTGAGCTGAGGAAGGAAAAAATGAGCAGCCCTGTTTAGTGAAGACAAGCAGTGACTCAAGGTCCCTCTCATAACCACACAATCCCGCATAGCAAAGGCCTCCCTCCCCACAAACGCTTGAGCTACGCTGATGCCCTACACGTTCTTTGCTTTGTACTCTGTCCTAGGATGAAGCACATGTACTTAAGGAACTCAGTCGAACACGTGCCCGCGCACAGAGAAAACGCTTCTCAATATTCCTGAAATACCTCAAATGAAAAACGGCAGAAACAAACACGCTATTTTATCGCTGGAAATACTTCCTCTCCCCCAAATGCACCTTTGCCACCTGCTTGCTGTGTTCCGCCTACAACCGTTGCCCCATCATAGATATGTGTACATCCTGGAAAGACACGCTCTGCCCTCTTTAGAGCTTGACAAAGTGCCACAAAATTTGCCTGAAGCCCTCTGTGTTGCAAAAGGCTGCTTACTATTCCTGGGTTTCCCACTGCCGTCCCGTGCCTTTCTCTTATGCAGACCCCAGGAACAATCTCAGCCGAAGGGCACGAGGACACGTGCAGACCCTCCTGCTGCTGCTGCTTCTTCCCTTTCCAGGGATCCCTCACCTAAGTCCTTGCGGATGGCTGCCATAGGCACGTGGGGCAGGACTTCTTGGACACGCTGAGCCATGCCTATCAAGCGTACATCCTCTGTAGAGCCCGCGCTGCGGGAGGCTTGAGGCCGGCCCCCAGCGGGCTGGCTTAGAGCTGCAAAGAAAGGAAGGAGTGAGGCTGATTCCTGCAGCCCCCCTGCCCCTGCAGCATGGACTCCTTTCCCAGCCGCTGCTGAGCTTGGTACCATCCTTGGCAGATCCTGTCTGGCTGCCTCTTCCAACAAGGTGAGATTAAAGGTTCGTTGAGAACTTCCGGCTGCTGCTGCTGCAACACACAAACTGTCAGGGCAGCTTGGAGCTGCTCACCCAAAAGCAGAGAGGCAGCGAGCAGCTATTAACAAGGCCGGATGATCCACCTGGAGTGGATGCAGAGACTCACGTGGGGGAGGACGGGAAGCTGGAGGGTTGTGGCGGAGACGCTTCAGATGCTCTGCCTTGTCGGCGGCTGTGAGACACGTAGACACCACGCCGAGCTCCAAAGCTAGAAGCTGCAAAGAGCAAAGACACAATTGAGACGTTCTGAACCGCCTGCCAGCCGGGTGTCCATCCCCACCACCCCAGGCTGCTGCTCCTACCTCTTGAACCCGCAGGGCAAACTCTTCCCGGGTCTCCTCGGCTCGTCTGCACACAGATGGAAGCCACCTAGAGAAGAGAGGAGCCCCCAGAGTTTCAGCACCACACCACCAACTCCTTGCTGTCCTTCGGGCTGAGGGACATCTGAGACTGGATCCAAAGGGGCCCTCTAGCCCACACCCCACCAAAAATCAGAGAGTTTTAGTACCTTACTTGATAAACAGTGATGGGAACAAAGAAAGTCCAAAGCAGCTCGGTAACCCAGGAAGCACCAGCCACGCTCTTTGAGGGAGGGAAGGAAAAAAGGAAGCCGTTAAAAGCCAAGGATCAGGGTAAGCGAGGTGGCGCAAAGCCTCCTCCCGGGAGCAGCACTCACCACGGCCACGAAGGGCCTCCAGACCCGCAACGCCAACGGCTGGACCGTGTCTGCGATAGAGAAGGGCCAGGAGCTGCAGACGGAAGGGGCAGGTTA